GGCTGAACAAGCCCAGCTCCCTCAGCCTTTCTTCATAGGGGAGGTGCTCCAGTCCCCTGATCATCTTCGTGACCTCCTCTTAATTGAACATTCTGATTATAAGAGGCAGTGTGGTGTTGAAGCCTTCTTTTCACAGCTGAAAGATGTGCCAAACACACAGAGAGCTTGCCCTGCTCAGCCTGGGACAAGCAGCACTTTTCCAATCCGTCCTCAAAGGGGAAATTATGACTTTCCCTCCTTCCCCCTTTCCCTCTCAGCCTGGCCTCTCCCAGGAGCAGGATCAGCCTGCAAAACACATTGTGCTGCAGGAGCTGTTTGCTCCACGGCTCTATGCAAGATTTATCATGAGCTGTGCCTCTCTCTGCTCCATCCCAGCCCAGGGCAGAGTTCCCCTTCCCAGAGCCAGGTGTAACAGCAATGCCCTCCTTCCAGGCTGTCACTTAAAGCACCTCGGGGGCAGCAGAGGTAACACAGATCCATGCTGTTTGCACACAGTCCTGGCTGCAGGTTAGCACAGTGCAGTGCTTTCTGCTAGGCCTCCATAAAGAGGCTTTTAATTTAGCTCTAATAGGGAGGTGATTGTATGTTAAATAAATACTAATTGATTATTTAATATATATGCGTTGAGGGTTAACTGCTATGTAATGAGCTCCTCTCCATTAGTGGGGCTGCTAAACGTCAATTAATATGGGTTTTATAATCAATTGATATTTCACATGCCCTAACTTGCCTGTTTAGACTTAATGGGTCAGCATTTCTGAAGTGGCCAATGCCAATAGATTCTTTATAAAATGAAAAAATATTTGTTGGCAGATTTAGCACAGAGTGGAAAGTTGCAGCTCTATGAGAAGCTCAGCCAACCAGCTCTGCAGAGCTGGGCACGGTGGGGCTGGTCTGTCTGATACCAAGAGCTGCACGTGGCAGAAAGCTCTGCAAAGGGGAGCAGCCACCCTTCGGATCCCATATAAGCTGCTCTTACTGCCTGTCTGCATCTGGATGCGTGCTGGAGATGTGGGAGGCAGTGCCCCATTTGGAATGGACTGTCAGATAACTTCTAGGGACAAGATCTTCAAGAATGACCAGGGGATTTGAACACGTGTCTTCCATTTATTTTCATAAGCATCATGTCTCTGCATCTCCCAGCTGCCTTTTTGAATGTCTAGCGGCTTAGGTTTTATTCCCTTTGCCTCTTCTCCCCAAACACATACAAATAAATTATGTACAAGCTGTTTCTGGTATAGGCCAGGGAGAAAACAAGCTTCTAATGAGAGGAATGATCATAATGCATTTATGACCATTATCGAACACTATTTCTTCTCTAATTTCCTTATTGACAGCTTTCCTGATGTGGCAGGGTTTCACTCAGCTTGCCAAAAACTCAGGCTGGAGGAGAAAGCACACAGAACGACACCCACCCCAATCCCACCTGTGAGCATCTCTTTGGGTTTGCCCCCAGCTCCATGTACTCATTCTGGTATGCAACAGCACTCATTAAAGGGAACCTGATTGCTCTTGCTGTTGTGGAAAGCAGCTCATCTCACCTACCCTGGAAAGAGACCAGTTCCCACAAACTGCCTCACAGCCCAAAGCCTGGGTGAGACAAGGTCCATCTCCCACACACGGTAGGTTTTGTAAAACCCACAGATGTTTTAAGTGATAAAAGACAGTGCCCAGGGCAGGAGAATGCAGGGCAGCACCTTCTCTTACTGCATCTGTACAGCACTAAGACAATGGGGCTTAAAGCATCACTGCAGCCTTCAGGCAGTGTTATGATGCAGATAATAAAGATGAAGAAAGAACAAAGAGGAATGTGTGGCCAGCCCATGGTTTGAAGTCTCCAGGCTGATTTATGTCATCTGAGGATCTGGCCCAGTTAAATCTAATTTTAACATCCTTGACAAATTCGCTTTAACGGCAAACTGTCAAAAGGGAACCTTTTCTCCTCCCCTCATCCTTCCATCTCCATGAGCTGTTCCCTGTGACAACACTGTTCTCGAGCTGTAATTGGCAGTATCATTCCATTATCACTTATTCTTTAGGCCTGAGGATTTCATTCCTTGCAATTTTCCTGTTGTACAAATTCACGTCTATTATTTTAACACACGTGCATCCATCCATTCCCTGTGTGTGTGTGTGTGCTGCGTGCCTGCGTGTGTCTGGGCAGGGAAACAGTACTTAAATCTGAAAGGGCCATTGTCTTATAGACCATCTTAAGGAAGCAAAAGAGCTAATTACTGGTGACAGGTAGTTATGATTCTATGACTTGCGGTAGGAGGTGTCTGGCACCCTCAGCAAACAGTCTAAATTCTCCTTATAAGCATTTTAAATGGACGATTATCCTAATGAACTTAATAGCATCGCTATCCAAGGACAGCATCAACTCATTGCCATCCTATATTTTCCAGAAATAGCTTCTCTTTAAACAGTGTGCCCCTGCTTTGAACAGTAATGGTTTTTAAAAGTGTCTTAGCACACAAAAGCAAAATCTTTTTTGAAACAGGGTGGAATTGGTTGGTGATTATCACTGAAAAGCTGGCAGCCACCAGCTAACCTTCTAACAATGAAATATGGGAATTTACCTTCATGCTTCAATGCTTGCTATTCAGCTGTCTACCAGGGTCTAAATCAATGATTCTACACCCTCCACTCAAGGTTTCTCTTTCAAATGCTGCAGATATGACCTTAAGTTCATCATCTAAACAATGCAGTTCACGTTTAATTTCATTAATCTAAGATCTTCCATAAAATTGCAATATGGCACCATACCTTTCAAGTACCTTCATTAAAATCCATGTTATTTCTAAATCCTATGCATATCTATGAGGTCATACGGTGTTTTATTAGAATGGATTTTTGAAAGGCTCAGCTCTTTTATCACCAATTGTCATAAGGTAGTTTACAATAAATTAAAAAAGAAACAAAAAAAACCACACACGCGATCTCATTCCTACCACCTAGGTGGTAAACAGATCTCCCATTTCTGAAAATTATCCCCTTTCCTGATTTTTACCCTCTTTCTGAGGATTTAACAATTGCAGGAAAGAAGGAAATTTTGAAACCCTCCTGACTCATGAATTTCTGCTACTTGCTGTGCCCAGTGCAGCTCCCTTGCTGAAATGTGTCCACTCAGATCCAAGGGCCATTACTTTCAAGCTTTGTCCCTATGTGCCTACATGGCACCATGTTTTCAAACCACACGCTGGATTTTTTTTTTTTTACTATTCTTGGAATAATGTATTGGCACAAACTCATCCTTCTGCCGCATTCCTTCCCTGATCTCTTGTCTATTTCACAGATTATTTGATATTGTAATAGTGCTTTGCAGGGCTATTCAGGAGCAGGGACCTCCATGATTACAGATGCCAAGAACACAAAGGACAGATCGTGCACCATGAACCCACAGCCCTCAGCTCCCCATCCACACAACTACAAGATATTTCAGGGAAAGAACGTTTCTTCTTGATGCTGTGCTTCCAGGGAGCGTTGGCATCCCCACAGACACCAAAAGGAAGGCACCACCTCTCTGTGTTCACCTGCACACCTCACACAAACATCCAAACGCCGAAATTTTTCACAAAAGTAAAGAGGACAACATCTGTGCCCAAAGAAAATTAATATTCCATGCTAATTCCAGCTCTGAAGCCAAATAGTGAACAGCCTGAAGCTGTCCCATGGTCCTGCCCTCAGCCTTGGCACTGCTTGAGGTTCCAGCAGCAGCAGACAGCAATGCACCGCTACAGATATGTCATTTGTGACCAACCTGCTGATGACTTCAGCTTCACCTTGCTTGGTCTGTCTATGGAAGGCCAGCCAGGCAGCAGCCCCACGCCTGCGGTGTAGCATCACTCTGAAGAAGCAATTACAGCGAGCGGAGCAAGGAACTAAAGACAGCTCACCTAAATGAACTGAGGGAAAAGTACATGAGAAAACAAGAAAATGTCTTCATCACTTTTCAGGCTTCAAATTGGAAAAACAGGAATCAATACAGCAGAACTTCATTTAATGGTGTGAAAAACAATCCGGCCCGCGACAGGCAGGAATCACTTATTGCCAAACAAACAGGCCAATTAAGCCGGGCAGGGCTGTGGGGTTCTTCAGGGTGTGGGGCTCTGGGGCACAGCCAGCACCATCCTTGGGCAGCTCAGGTTCCTCATGCATGCAGAACGGCAGCACCAGCGCTGCCACGCAGGGATTTCATCGCCTTTGCTGTCATTGCCACCGCCAGCATGTTAAACAGATTAATGGAAGCAATGGAGAGGGAGCATAAAACACCCAGCCTTCGGGCCGAGCGCCACCAGAACAGAACGAGGCTGCAGCTGACATTTGCAGAAGTAACACTGCGTTATTAAAACAAATTTGGCACGAAGAGAAAACATGTTTGCTTTGCACATAATAACAGCTACGAGAGCATATTCAAAATCAAATATTTGCAAGGCAGAGCACGAGGGTTTTCTCCTCCCCTTCTCCTCCTCCTGGCCACCCAGAGCCACTCCGTGTGCCACTGCATCTCATGGCCAGAGTTTTAGAAGTAAATGCAGAGAGGACACCAGGCCTGAGCTGCAAATCTAGCTTTGAATCGATATTTGTCTGAAAAAAAAAATATAAAAAAAATCAAGCCAAACCATGTGGCACAGCCTCTGGATGCGTTCACAGAAAACTGCTACGCGCTGCAATTTTTCTCTCGCTTTTTTTTTTTTTTCCCTTCTCCCGAAACATTGGTTGTATTTTCTCCCTTTATTTATTGGAGTGCTGAATGGATTATTTCGGTAATAAATCAGGGCCTTTCATTACATTTTTTAAGGTGTTGTCGCTGTTATGAAGTACAGCGTGCCATCAAAATTAAGCTCAGATTGCATTACCACCTATTTTATAGAGAGGAGAGAATCACTCGATGGATTTTTTCCAGCTCTCTAAGCATTGGGTGTCTTTCCTTCCCCAAACAATCTGCTCCCCAGCTCCACAGGAACGTTCTCCTACAAGCTATGAACATTTCACCCAGCTTGTCCCTCAGATATCTTTGTGTTATGTTCTGGAATAGTGATGCTATTTCTTTAAGCCCAAACTAACTGTTCACGCAACCAGAAGGAACTGTTAACAGGTGAGGCAATGCTAGAACATCACTCTGTGCCCGGCTCCTCCTTGCATACAGAGTACACACCAGGAGTGGCCCTGCTGAAGTCAGTGCAGTTACCTTATGGCAGAATTGCCTACAGAGGACTGCAGTGAGGCAGCCCTGTGCTTTGCTGCCTCCATGGCAGAGGGCACTGAGCAAGGAACTGATTCCCAGGGATGGTTCTAGCTGACATCTGCTGAGCACGAGGAACTTTTCCTCACCCATTGCCAGCTTTCCCAGCACACGGAGCCCATTTCATTGCTCCTCTGTACCCTGCAAGGCACAAATAGCATTACTTGGGCTACATTTCCAAGGAAGTCGCCACCTGAGAGGCTTGTGTATGTATGTTCTCTTCTCTTTGGGCATAAGCCTAAAGTAATTGTGTATGAAGCTCTGCAAGCAATATGAGCAGGAACAGAACCCTGCATGCAGCAGGTGGGACAGGAGAGCCCTGCTAAGCCCCCACCCCAAGCCCAACTTCTCCTCCACTAAGCATTCCAGCTGCGAAGAGCATTAAGATGCTGCTCTGTTAAAAGCACTGGAACTGAAGCATACGCCTAAAGTTGCGTGTTATAAAAAGGCTCCCTGAACTGCATCCTCACAATCACTGTATTTCCCTTAGACAGCAGGCACAGACAGAGCTGCATGCTGCGGGCACTGTGCTGAGTGGCACAGCTGGGCCAGGCAGGCTGGTGGCCATGGCTTTCGGGCACAGCTCAAATCCCTGCCACCCTGCTGCTGGTTTTAAGCGGTAGGTGGCACTTCAGGAAAGTTTCTCCTAAATTTCCATAGCACAGTGCTTTTCTGCACTCCTATTCTGCACCTTCTCTTTAAATTTGCAGTAACATTTTTTGCCAGCACTTACAGAAAGCAGAACGTCCCTGAAGAGATGAGCAAGCAGTGCCTCACCTGCACACGGCTCAGCGTCTGCCCAGGCTGCTCCTCCTCCCATCCCACCCGCACCGGCTGGGAGCAATACAGGGAAATTAGTGGCATTACCCTCTGCGAGCCCGCCAGCACTTACGCTCCAATCTTCAGAAAAGTGACTGCAAATCTGCAGCCACGTCTGCCTATTGCTACAGAAGTCATTTTCGAAAGCTAGCAGCTGCACATTACGTGCGACACTGAACGCCGCGTGCGTCCGTGACCGCTGCCGCATCCGGAGACAGCGCAGCGGAGCTCTTCATTCGTCTTCCCCGACAGCAACCCAGGACTGAGATGTGATGTTTTACTGAGATCTTCCTCCCGCAGCACCTGCAGGTGCCCCGCTGGGGATGGCCATGGGGCCACGGGCGCACAGCGGGATGCAGCCAGGACAGCACCCAAAGTTTGGTCGCCCACTGCAGACACAGCGCAGAGCTGCTCAAGGAGTTAAATGTATTAAGCAATTTACAATTAATATAGAACTCATTCCAGAGATATCTACTAGAGAGTACAACAGGGCAATTAACCCACTAATACACTAGGCTATTACATCGCTATGTCTCTTATTTTAGCCTGAGGTGATTTGAAACGCATTGGATTAAAGGATATTACAGGAGATAGCATGAAAAATAGCTTAATGTAATGAGCCATCCCGTGATGTCTGCTATTAAAGATGATTTGCAGTTGAAAACTACAACATACAGTATTCAGCCATTTAGAAACATGAGTGTTTAACCCTTTTCTAGCCCCCATCCCTTGGAGGGATCCATGCGAGAGCCCCTCCTCTCTCCCACCTCCTCAGCCTTTATCTGAGGATTATCAGATGCATTTTATTAAAGCACAACGGTGCCATTGGGAGACCGGTGCCTGAGGTTGATAGAAAACCAGCAATCTGCTAATAACTTTTAGAACTAGACGCCTGAGAGAGTAAATAGGCCAAGGGAGGCTGTGTGACTGGCAAAACGTTGGTGAAATGGGAGCATCGTGCATTTCTGCCCTGCCCTGGGGCCTGTCACACCCGCTCCACCTCAGCCTGTGTGGCACGACACCTCTGCACCCACGTGCCAACAGGGGACACCAAGCCATTCCCCAGACATTGCCCCAGGGCAGCCGTGGGATGCCAGGCAGGGCTGATGGCACGGGAAAGCCTCCTTCTAATGGAGGAACCTGTCACTGTCACCACAGTGTCAGCATCACCGCCCAGCCCCGCTCTCACGAGCGCCCTTCTGCATCCCTGCGGTCCCAGGCGGCACGGAATCTGTCATGCCTTGTTTCCATCCAGAGGAAGGAGCGGTGTGGGAGAAGGGCAGGGGATGACCAGCTCTTCCTGACCTCTTCTCCTTCAATTTCGCTCCTCTCCTCGGCGAGGAGGAGGCGGCCATCACGCTAGGTGGAACCGACAAACCCATCTCCGCGTTGCTCCCCGCACACAATAGCTGTGTCACTCGGCATCAGGGACGGGACGAAGTGACGATGTGACGATGTGATGGTCCCAACCTGGGCAGCTCTCAGCCCTCCTGCTGGGGCAGTGCTGGGCTGCCGGACACCTCAAGGCCCAGTTATACAATTCAGGCTCTCCTTCCCAGCAGGGCCTGCATCCCCTGGCCCCACACAGCGCATTACTTTGGAAACAGGACTGCAAATATCACACAACACAAAGCCATCGGAGAAAAGAACAAAGAACTGATATATAACATCATTTCAGTCGAATGGGACTGGTTCTACACGAGACAGGGCTTTGCAGGACGATGTATTCCTGGTGTGACGCACGTGGGCTGATTGCTCCCAGTACTTGAACAGAACAGCACAGGAAGGCGAAGGGGGAGTGGAGAGAAGCAGAGAGAGAAGGGTTGGTGCAGAGAGATCTTTTCACAGGAAAACTCCCTTTTTGGAGGGTAGGAGGGATATTAGTTGGTAACAGCAAGAGCATAGATTTTTGCACTCCTATAAATCATTATTACTGGAACGTCCCTGAGGGGATGAGAAGAATGAATCAGTTACACATACACAATGCCAAACTTTCTCTGGTTCCTTTTCTCTTTCAAGAAAAAAAAAAAACAACACCACAAAACAGACAGGAGAAAGGTAGAGAGGAACAGTAGAGAGGAAAAGGGAACAAAAGCAAAAGGAGGAGGAAAAGAAAGGGAAGAATGAGAAGAAGAGAATGAATGAACTTTGGAAGCAATTTATAATTCCTTTCACCTACATCATGAATTGAACATGCAAAAAAAAAAAAAAAAAAAAAAGGGAAGGGAAGGAGGGAAAATATTCCGCCCAGCATGCAGATTATCATTTGAAAAGATTCTGTTGCTATGTTTTTGTCCCTGGGTGATGAAAATGAAATTGTCTGATGTGTGCGCCGTGTTAGATTTACCTTTGCAGGGTTCACCCACAATCAGTAGAGAGGGGTCATGCCACAATATGTCATCTCACAGCTCCATCACACCAACTCCAATTTATACGAGGAGGTATTATGCATTTCAAAGGAGCCCCCTGCGCGTGGCTCTTGTTACTGATCTATATCACAGCTCAGCTGAGGGAAGATTAGTTCTGCTGCAAGGGCAACGAGACTTATTTGTTTATGATTATATCCTCCTTAAAGATGCACTATTCCCTTTTTTTAATGTCTAATTTAAAGTGTGCATTAAAGGGGGCTGGGGAGGGGGTGGGAAGTAAAAGGTGAGAGAATTCTGCACTCTCCCACAAGGAAACCTAATAGTCTGAGTCTCCCATGCATCCTGCTCATTAAAAAAAAAAAAAAAAAAAGAGAGAGAGAGAGAAGAAAAACTCCATTTAAATGCAAATTTGAGTTTTAGCTGGGGACTCCCCCAAAAGCTTCTCTTGGAAGCACTGGGGAAATAGGATTCA